TCTTCCCCTTGTATGATTTTTCAGGATCAAAATTAAATAGGCTAATGTTCAGGATGTATGGTTAGCGTTATACCATACATTACATGTTAGTATCTGTGTTGTGTCTACTGTTTTGAGGAGCTGTTTTAGGAAAGTACTGTCCCCACAGGAATTATTCTTCAAGTCTAATTCTGCTTCTTTTATAGAACTAGCTCAGAGACTTGTGTTTAGGGTTCTTATATGCTAGAATGAGGAAAGTCCCCAGATTTTCAGATGAGAACTATATATATATATATATATGTTTATATTGCTTTTTTTTCTTATGTTGGTTTTATCTAAAATGTTTCGGGCTAGGAGATAGCTCTGTCAGACAAGGGCTTGCAGTCCAAGTGTGAGGACCAGTGTTTGACCTCTAGAACCAGTGTTGAAACTGGGCACATTGGTATGCTCTTATACTTCCGGTTTGGGAAGGGGGAGACAGGCATACCCCTGAGGTTTGCTGTCTAACTATCTCAGTCTTAATCAAGCACCAGGTCAGTGAGAGATCCTGTCTCAAAAAGAAGGTACATGGCTGAATATAGTGGCCCACACCTTTAACCCCAGCACTCGGGAGGCAGAGACAGGCAGATCTCTGTTGTGTTATAGGCCAGCCTGAGCTACAGAGTGAGTTCCAGGACAGGCAGGGCTACATAATGAGATTCTGTCTCAAAAAACCAAAACAAAACCAAAACAAAGGCACATAGTGTTTGAGGGGGGAAAGACACTCAAAGTTGACCTCTGGCTTCCATAGGTACATGCATGCATACTTGCATGAACATACATGTATGTACATTTACACACATGCACACAGTTTTAATTTGTCTTTTAAACATTTATTATATTTAAATTGTGTGTGTGTGTGTGTACACATGCACATATGTGTGGAAATCAGAGGATAGCTTGAGGAAGTTGGTTGTCTTCTTTCCTTTTGTGTGTTCCAGGGATTGAACTCAGGAAGTCATGTTTGGTGGCAAGTGCCTTCACTGGCTGAGCCACCTTGCTGGCCCTATTGTTTACTTCTAATTAAGAACTCAGGGTACTGTATAGATGTTGTTTGTTGTAAATGAAAATTTTACATTTAAAAATAATTGAGGTATAAGTTAATAAATATTTTCTTATGGAAACCGACTTTTAAAGAATATTAATACACAGCAGATCACTTCCTTTAGGAGGATGGAAAAAAAATCCCAAGATTTCCAATTCGAAGATGTACCCACTAACAGCTGTTTCCTATAATTGGAGCAATTTGCATGCAGAATAGAGAAAATGAATTATACAAAAGGGTGCAGAGAGGAGCAGCTCTAACTCCCCAGCGGGTGCAGCAGCCCACAAAATAAACTTCCTTCAAATGACACTGGCATGATTAATCCCAAGCAACCTGGACACCAATACTAACGTCTAAAAATATTTTCATTAATTCTTTGAGGATTTCCTCCAGTGAAATTGTCATTTTGCAAGAGCCTCACAGCTTAGAAATGCCACCAGTGTAGCGATGCAGGCCACCAGCCCACTGGGTGGGGCTGCATGTTCACCCCAGTGTTCAGGTCGTTTGAATATTCATGAAGGTTGGCAGGTGGTCAGTGGATGAGTGACTGCCACTACTCTGGGTCCTTTTGCTCTCTCTCTTTTTTTTAATTTATATTAGAAAAACATACCAGATAAAGTGAGTTGCTTAATTCCTGACTTTTTCTGATGTCAGTTTGGGAGGAAATTTTCATCAGGTGTTCTAAAGGAGATAGCTGGACGTTAACATCTTGCCTTCAGCTGGTTTGGTGGTACATGGCCTATCTGTAATCCTTGTCCTCTGGAGATTGAGGTAGGAGGACCAAGATTTCCAGGCCAGCCTATGCTACACGGCAAAACACTGTCAACTAAAAACAAAAACAAAGCCTTGTTGTCCACTCATGTCTGTGGAACCATATTCCTGTCTGTGCCGTGTGTAGCCAGTATTTATGTAAATCAACTTTTTTTAAAAAATAGAGCACATCATGTTTATAGTGTTTCCTACATATAATCACCTTGCATGTTTCAGCTATGCTTTCGGGTGTGTACGTGATGTTTTATTTTCATTCCCTGTTAGAGAGAAAGAAAGCAGAAACTGTGTACAGCTCTCCAGCCCCAGGCCAGGGATCACACAGTCCTGTGATCCACATCCAAGCCTCCCCTCTTCCTGTTTCCATCTGAGAGGGTTTGTGGTGATTGGACATCTTAGGGCTGGATTTCCTGGCTTGCGTGAAGATGGGTTTATACATGGGGCCTCTTGCTGCATTGTGTATATGTAGCATCTTCTTGGTTCGTTCAAGCTGTAGTGATAGAGTACAGTAGACCTGGCAGCTCAGAAACAGGAGACATTTATTTCTTGCAATTCTGGTGACCTGAAGTCTGATGTCAGGGTGCCATCATGTGCAGATTCTGATGTGAGGATCCTGTTTAGGATTGTTGATGGGCTTCTTGCTGTGGCTTCACATAGTGGAAATGATCAGAGAATCTTTGGATTACTACTACTACTACTGCTGCTGCTACTACTACTACTACTACTACTACTACTACTACTACTACTTCTTTGAGAATTTTGTACAAGTTGAGTTTTGACCATTTTCACGCCCATCCCCCCATTACTCCCAGCTCCACCATCCCTTCCCTCCCAACTTTGTGTCCCACCCCCCCACTCATTATGTCCAATTTGTACGGTCTAGGTATGCACAGCTCTGTAACCTTCCACTGGAGCATGGTCGACCTACTAGTGGCAAAACTCCCAGCATTCATCAGCTGGGAATAGCTCCTCAGCTGGGGGGAGGTTCCATATCCTCCTCCCCTCTCCAGCTCGGGGTTGGTCTTGCTTGAGTTTGCACAGGGGCCATCGCCACAACTGCTGTGAATTCATGGATGCGGCTGTGTGTTGTGTCCAGAAGATGTTGGTTCTCTCTTTTCACGTACTCTCTGGTTCTTACAGTCATCTCCCCCTTCCCTCAGCCTTCTGCAACTTTCCCAAGCCTGGGGAAGAGAGGGTACAGGATAGATGTTCCATTCAGGGCTCAGCAGTCCATGGTCTCATATTCTCTGCACCTTAGCCAGTTGTGGATCTCTGTGTTAATTGCATCTACTGAGAATAGAAGCTTCTTTGAGGGTGGGAAATACAGAGTAAACTCATTCATGAAGATTTTACCATCTTAATCACCTCTCAGAGGACTCATGGGAGGCCATTAATATCAGAGATTAGAGTGTCAACATGTGAATTTTGGGGAACATAAACATTCAGTGTATGGCAGTCACCATGCTTACTCTTCAAACTGTTGAGAAGAGGATTCCAAGATTCAAAGAAGTGAGGCAGCTCTGTAGAGGAAGACTGGAGTTTGGACTAGATGGTAGATTGGTACTCAGGTATGCACCCTCACCACCTGACATACGCTTTAATTTCCCACGGTACAACAGTGTTTGTTTGTTTTCTTTCCTCCTGTCCCTGGGGAAAGGGGAATAAACAGGTTAGAAGGAACTCTGTTTAGTTTCAGAGTAGTCATTTAGATAATTGATGCTTTGGGTGGGTACAAGGAGGTACTCTGTGGGACAGAGAGACTTTGGGAAGAAATTGAGATTTGGATAAACAAGAAAGAGTGGAGGGAAGCATTGAGCATCGGTGGGAACTGCTGTGCATGTTTGCGGGGAAGCAGAGCTTGAGTGAAGCACAGAGCTGTGGTGGGAAACACAGCGGGTGGGTGGGTAGGTGGAACCTGGGAAGGTGACCTGGGCTGCTGATAAGGACTCAGTGTACTGGAGTATGCATCTTGACATTTAGCATATCCAGTTTTACCTTGTTACATGATGAAGCCACAAGCTGGGTGGTAGTGATGGTGGCACATGCTTTTAATCCCAGCACTCAGGTAGCAGAGACAGGTGGATGTCTAAGGTTGAGGCCAGCCTGGGCTACAGAGTGAGTTCCAGGAAGGGTTCCAAAGCTACACAGAGAAGCCCTGTTTCAAAAAAAAACAGGAAAAAAAAAAACCCACACTATGAAACCACCTGCTTTAAAAGATACTTACTATACTTTGTGTGTGTGTGTGTGTGTGTGTGTGTGTGTGTGTGTGTGTGTGTATGTGTGTGTGCGCACAGGCATGTACTTGAGTGTTTATGTGTACCACATGCATTCAGGAGTCTGCAGAGCTTAGAAGATGGCAACAGATCCTTTGGAACTGAAGTTGTGAGATGCCATGTGGGTGCTGGATACCGAACCCAGGTCTAGTGCAGGAGCAAGTGCTCTCAACTTCCCAGCTACCTCTCTGGCCCACAACACTTAACAAGAATAAGTTCAGTTGACTTGTGATTGATTTTGATGTAGAAAATTTAGAGGAATGAAATTTCCTTTCCTAAGGTCTCTAATTCTCTAAGATCTTCCTTTAATTTTGTTTTATTCTAATAAATGTGAAGGTCTTATATATTCGTACCATGTGATTGGGTTTTGAATGTGTTGTGGTGGAATCTCATTGAAACTTGTTTTTGTGACCTGGGAAAGATGGAGGCATTGAATCTTAGTACGCATGAGAAGAAGTGATAGAGCCGGGGTTTCAGGTCTTCTGAGGAAGGAGGCCACCCAGGACATCTCAGACAACAGAGGCTTAGGCAGGGAGTGAGTTTCCTCAGCTCCCAGATTTGGATGTTTCTGTACTTAGGGAACTCTGTAGCTCATTTGGTTCTTTTGAGCTTTGATCACAGTCCCTGTCCTGTTTCTGAGAATTATAATTAAGTCACACAGTGTGACCATGGTTGACTGTAATGAACTATACTCCACCTAGATTTTAATTAAAAAAAAAAAAGATAGGAAAATTATTGTTCTGGGTCCCAGAGAAAAAGAAATCAGAGACTCAACTGTGAAATGAGCAAGGGCTGTGAAAATTGGGCATGATATGGATGGTAGAATGTTTATGTTTTTAACCATGTCTTTCTGTCTGCTAGTCTCATCTTTCCTATTTTCCTTTTTAATTTTGCAGTGTGCAAAGATCCACCTTACAAAGTAGAAGAGTCTGGGTATGCTGGTTTCATATTGCCAATTGAGGTTTATTTTAAAAACAAGGTATGTAATCTTTACCCATTTATCGCTCAGAAGATCTTCTGTTAACCAAATTATGTTTAAAATAATCATTGATAAACACTTCTCACACTATATAATGTTAAAGCTAAACTTGGCTGAAGAATTTTGGTTATCACAGCTCATTAATCATAGAGGAAGTGGCTATAAAAAGATAATTTCAATCATAAAGTCAGGTTATATAAAATTTACTAAATATTCCTTGGAAGAATGATTACCATTCTGAAAAAGGTGAGAGAGGTTTGTAAAATAAAAAAGATGAATTAGAGTTTTTTCAGGAAATGCTCCTAGTCTTGTCATATCTCTAGAATTTTTTAGGATTACAAAAAATAAAAAACAATCTTGTATTATCTTTAGATGATAAATATATGTGGCCAGTATATAAAGTTATTTCAGCCCGAGGGATTACGGCTTCTGCTGCATTTACAAGATGTCACCACTGTGTTTGGAGCAGAATATGCAGACTATATGGCATGGGTGATTGCTGAACCTCTCTCGGGCTTCCCTTATTCCCTACATAGGGAGGTAGGAGTACCCACTTCAGAAGGTGGTTAGAAGATTCTATATAAGGATGATGTGTGGAATATTTGTAACACTGTCTCATTTATACTTTTGTTAAGTGCTGGGCTTCTTTTCAGCGTTAGTTTTCTGGGTTTTGTTTATGAACACAATAGATTATTGCCTTTTTATCTTGGTGCTATACATTTGAAGATGAGAAGGTACTGAATAGCTCCGTAAACTGCAATGGGTGTGTGAGTTGTGAAGCTAGTAGACCTACCACTAAGAGCCCACGCCCTTGCCTGCCAAAGCTACTGCTTTCTGCTCCGTAGTCATGGATCAGTGATTTTGGTTACCCCAAGGAGAGCATTCAGCTCCATGTCAGGCCTGCAGTAGTGCTTGCAGTTTTTAAATAGTGCCATTCCTTACTTGTAATTCAAAGGTATCATAGGTTTTAAATATACCCTAAAGTGAGACAGGTCACTTTCAAAATAAACGCAAAAGCAACCGAGAAAACAGAAGTCTGTTCTTTAAGTGAGCATTCCATTAAGTCTGGTCCTGGAAGACAGCAGCTCCAAGAGCAGATTAGACAGACATTTTCACAGTCCGCCCGATCTACGCGAGCAGCGTCCCTGGGGTGCAGCCTAGGAATCTGCATACTTACTCACAGATCATATTGAATGACTTTGGTGCTCAGGACAGGAGCAGAGCCGTGACAAGCCACTCTTTAACACTCAGGGTTTTCCACAGCAACAATAGCTTTTCTGTGTGTACAAGGCTTAGCCTTTCAAGTCATTCAAGATTTCCTTGTGACTAAGAGATATAAATAAACCCATCCTGTACGATAAGAATGGATCAATAACTGGGTATGTTTTATTTTTCATATTTTTTTCTTCTCACTGTATGTTTCTATATACCACACTTCTGCCATTTCATCTTTAACAAGCCTGTTAATTAGGGTGTATGAGAGAGAGAGAGAGGGAGAGAGAGAGAGAGAGAGAGAGAGAGAGAGAGAGAGAGAGAGAGAGAGACAGACATACTTGACAGTACTGTTGTCCTGTACTTACTCATTTGGTTTCTTACTTTGTCCTTGACCAGAGACTAAGTGCTTTACATGTTATTACCGATTCTTTCTTATACCTGAATAATATTCCATTGTATAATTAATTTACATTTTGTTTTTCATTTGTGAGTTGATGGCCATTTGACTTGTTTTTACTTTGTGACTATTAGGAGTGATGCCTCTCCGAATAGTCACTTACTGGTTTTTGTGTTGACCCATGTTTTGAAATCCCCCTGGGATTATTTGGTCCTATTGTATATACTTATGTCTAACTTTTGGGGAAACCACTAATTATTTTGAAAGTCATCATGCCACTTTATGCATTTTATATTCCCTTTAGCAGTATATAAAAATTTGAATTTCTCTAATGGTTCTTGTGTTCGTAGTTTTCTTTTTAACTATAATTACCCTGGTGTTTGGGAAACGGCCCTTCATTGTGGCTTTGGTTTGCATTTCTCTGATGACTTGTGATGTTGAACATCTCTTCATATGCTCATTGTCCATTTATTTATATTCTTTGGAGAAATGCCTTTTCTCACTTTACATTGTGTTTTTAAATGATTGTGTTTATGAGAAGGAATTCAGAGTCTTTCCTCCCCTTCACAGCCACTGCCTTTTAGTATCGTGAATACTTAGTTAATGAAGATCATGTTGTTGCATCCTGTTATACTTATCCGGTGCGTGGATTATACTCTTGGAAGAATCTAGGCTTTCTCTCCTGAAGGATTTCTAAGAGTAAAGATCTCTGTTTTCCTGTGAGAGGACGTGACTGTGGGCAGACTCCTTGCTGTCGTCCATGTAAATCTGGCATTGTACTGGCTTCAGCTTGGATATAATCCCTGCACTTGGGAGGCAGAGGCAGGCAGAGCTTCATGAGTTTGAGGCCAGCCTGGGGTTTAAAGCATGTGCCACCACACCTCAAACCATCTTAAAAGCGCTGACATGTGGACTGTGGTGCTGCTCCTGTCTGACAGATGCAGTGCTGTGGAGGGTCACAGGATCTTTCTTGCTCTGTATACTGCAGTGCAGTGCTAATGTTAACAACTCCTCCACATCTCAGACTCTGATTACCTTAACTGTTTTAAATACCTCATGTAAATGACTCATTCAGTGCTTGTCTTCAGAGACTGGCTTATTTCATTTAGTATAGTGTCTCTGCAGGCTGGATGGACACATTGTTTTTCTTTTGACTGAACTGACTAATGTGTAAAATATTTAGTTACTGTAGGTTGTTTCTGCAGAATTTTATTTCATTTTGAGTGTATTATTTCATTTATTATAAATATTTGCGGTCTCGTTGAGTGAGTGTGCAATGTAGTAATGGTTTAGGACAAAATGTGTGCACAGTTTTCCTGGGTGATGAGTCTCAGTCCTGCTCATGAGAAATGCACCCTTCCTTTCCCAGTCCTGGGCTTGCTCTGATGAGTATGTCTTAATTCTGCTTATTGATTTGAAACGTCAGAGTCAAGTGGGCTAGTAGAGTCTAAGTTGTTCTCCTGGGTCTCCATGTATCTCATTGTGTATCTGAGTACAGTAAAACCAGCCTGTCTATGAAAACCATTTGTGTTTCAGAAACCAAAAACAGCATCCACATTGAAGCACATTCAATCCTGGTGCTTTAGTTTTAAAAGACCCCATGCTTCTCTTTCTTAACCTGTCCTCAGAGACAGTATGTGAGTGACTGACAAGGACTGGAGCTTTTAACATGAGGGGGAATCTGATGTTACCAACCAGATTGCCACTCCAGGAAACATATTTGTTTTACATTTGGAACAAATACACGCTTTTCTTATTTAGATTTATTTTATGTGTTTGAGTGTTTTGTTTGCATGTTTATCTGTGTTCCACATGTGTGCTTGGTCCTCTCAGAGGTCCAAAGAGGGCATTGGATACTCTGGAACTGGAGTTAATTGTTGATTCTTCCATTAACTGGAGTTGTATACTATTGTGAGCCACCATTTGGGTGCCAGGAATCGAACTTGGGTCCTTTGTAAGAACAAGAAGTGCTCTTAGCTGTTGAGCCATATCTTTAGCTCCTTTTATTTGAACTTGGAGGAATAATCTTTTCTGAGGAGCAAAGCTTAACATCATAATGATGTCCACTTTCTAAGTAGAGATTTCTAGTTGGCCCGAACACAACTTGGTGGGCATAAATTAAAGCAAACAAACAAATAAGACAAAAAACCTTTAAGAGACGCTTGTACCAAAGATTCAGAAGGAGCTTCTCTAGTCTTTATCCTTAGGTTTTTCTGAAAGCGATGGCTTTGTCTTTTGTTTAAACCTTCAGAGGACTTACGAGGATGCTATTACTACTTCATTCCTTTATTGTTCTGGTGGTAATTGGTTACATTTGTTAATATATTTTTCTTTAAAAGTACACAAGAGTGAATGTTTTTATTAAAAGAATGTGGGATAAAATGTAGTAATTTTATTCCCTTAATTCCCCTAATGACTGCGGAGTATTTGATATAGCTGTTTTCAAGTTTCTCTCCATGTGTCTGCATGTTAGAACATGTCCATATGGAGACTGGCTGGATCATGCTATGCCATACTTTAATATTTTTCTGTCAGTTACCTTTAATTTATCTACATCTCCAAGTAGTAATTTAAAATATCGTAATGGAGGGGCTGGAGAAATGGCTCAGCGGTTAAGAGCACTGACTGCTTTTGTAGTGGATCTCAGTTTGCTTCCCAGTGCCCACATCAGGCGGCTCCCCACTCCCTATAACTCCAGTTTGAGAGGGATCTTATGCCCTCTTCTGACCTTTGTGGGCACCCGTGCCTATGTGATATACATATATACACTCAAATACCTACACATAAAATAAAGTAAATAAATCTGTAAGCTATCTGAATTGTAGTCTATGGCAGAACGTAGCTCATTCTTAAGTTTTTCTATTGTAGTCAATGCCATCATGAATATTTGCACTCATATTTGAATATTTATGTTCAAGAGATTCTTAGTGCTAGAATCAAATAGCATGAGCATTTACTATTGCTAGATTTTACCAAATTGATTAAAAATGTCTTTATCAATTTTACTGCCAGCTTCAAGGTAGACCATGGCCTGCCTTCTTAATTCTAAGGTTGCATTGAATAGTTATCAATTTTGAGGTGAGATGAGGCAAATTTTATCATAATTCAGTGTGATAGTTACAGTAGTAGAGGAGAGGTGTATGAAAAATGTCTAGTTCAGGTTGCATTGGCAGGGCTAGGATGTCTCTACAGGGAAGCTAACACTTCTGCTGATCTGCAGTGGCCAGTTTATGTTAACATACTTAGCCATGTAGGGAAATATGGTGGCCATTTTAGGTGTCGGAGCATTCTGTGAGAAAGCCAAAATCAGTAAGAACATAACACGCGTGGGAACATCAAGACCTTCAGAAGTGTAGAAGGAGAGAGTATTGTAAGAAAGCAAATAAAATACAGAAAAGGTAATGAAAGACTATGCTAGTTGTTGCAAGAAATGAGATATCACTGAAAATGATGAGCCTTTAAAGGCTTTAAAAAAAAGTAATGGAATGATAATCAAATTTTTTTTTTGCATTAGAAAAAAATCAGTCACTTGTCATTATAGGATGTAGACTGAGGCCAGTTTGAAAGCAGAAAAGTAGTGATGGTCTATGCTAAGACAAGTTATGGTGGCCAGAGAGTAGGAAGTTAACAAGAGGAACACTAGGTAGAACTGGAAGAAAATTTGGCTATGGTGAATGATGGAGGCCAAAGAATGAGTTTTATGAGCTTTAATGTTGATAAGCAATCAGCACTACCTTTGCGAGGATATACAGCATAGGCCTATGACAGCTGAGGGAGAGCTGGCCATCAGCTGGGTAAAGGTGGTGTATTGAGACCAGAGTCCCAGAGCCAAATTAGGAAGGCTCTCATGTAGCATATATGTCTCATTTAAAGATTTTTAAGTTGATATCCATTACAAGCTGTTGAAATTTTAACCAAGGAATAAAAGTGAGTAGACATTTGTTTATATAGATTATTTTGAAGGCTGAATGATGGAAGGATTGAGAAAAATGCATTGTTAGGAAGGCCTGGTAGAGGTAGGATTTGTCATAATTTGGACAGTAGTAAACATGGCAGTAGGTTGAAAGTCTTGATGGTAGGTGCTGAGGGTAAGGTGAGGAGAAGAAGGAATAACATAGGTTTCCATTGGGTGGCTGCGTTCATGGTGTGGTCTACTTGAGAAACCAAGGGGAAATGGTAAGTTTATTGTTTTTGGTTTTTAACACAAATGAAATTTTCACATATTTGTAGGTTGCTTTATATATAATCCCAGAATATTTTTTTTCAGAACTACTTTGACACGACTGTTAAGTGTCTAGGTCTTTTTCTATTCCTTATGATGATTAAGTCTTGTTTTTAAATCTTCTATTTTTGCCTCTTACTTTCCTTAACCTCCAGGAAGAACCTAAGAAAGTCCGCTTTGATTATGACTTATTCCTGCATCTTGAAGGCCACCCACCAGTGAATCACCTCCGCTGTGAGAAGCTTACTTTCAATAACCCCACAGAAGACTTCAGAAGAAAGTTGCTGAAGGCAGGAGGGGTAAGTGGCACTCTGTTGTAAAAACTTTAATCTTTTAATCTTTCCTATTAAAAAAATACTGATTACTAGTTTGTGAATGGATATTCTGGAAGAGTCCAAAAAGTAAAGTGCATTGACGATTTAGCTGTGGACTCATGATTTTGAATATAGAAGGAGACAAACTCTTAGGTACAAATCTGAAATGGCATGGCTGGTCAGAACAGCCTGAATGTCTCAGTGGGTCAAGTTTATTTTGACCAAGCTGTGTGTGTGCTGCGCAGCTTCTCTTAGGTATACGTGACCCTCATCAGGCCAAAGAAAAGATTCTGCCCAAGAGAACTGAGAACCAATGAGTCACCGGAGTTACTTTTATGAACACGTTTAAAGACATCAAAAACCCCGGCTAAGCAAGAGTAACAATTCATGAAATCCACATCCATGGAGCTCCGATGGGCTTGTGACTCTGCTTCCTCCCACTGGGAGGCCATCTATCTATGTAACAAAGTCCAAAACAAGCAACAAACTTCACACAGTTAAAGACTAGGGTTTGCACTTGTTTGTTGTTGTTGTTTTAAAGATTTATTTATTATGTATACAGTGTTCTGTCTGCATGCCAGAAGAGGGTGCCGGATCTCATTACAGATGGTTGTGAGCCACCATGTGGTTTCTGGGAATTGAACTCAAGTACCTCTGGAAGAACAGCCAGTGCTCTTAACCGTGGAGCCATCTCTCCAGCCCAGTTTTATCTATTTATAGAAAGTTTTAGGAGAAGTTGAAAGTTATGTAAAATATTACATAAAATGGAGTTACTGCCCAAATTTCTTTATCATAACGAGTGGAAATATAATTCATTCATATAACATGTTTTAGTCATTTGAATACATATTTTTTGATTTCTGAAGTGTAAGTAGACGAAATTCCTTTTAGATGAAGGCAACAGGTGGGATATTTTTGTCCTTGCAATTGGTATTGCTGGCGCAAGCATTTAAATTTTCTGTTTTTAGCCATTTCAATAACACAGATAAAGAATGAATTGACTAAAATCTCCTTTAAGATCAGTATCACCCAGACCATCTTCAGATGAACTTTCTTAGTCATCTTGTGTGCATAGCTCAGACTCATGTAAGATCCAATTCAGATGTAGACTTGAAATTTGTTCTTTACTCTAGAATCCTCTGTATTTAGTTTATCTAGAAGGGTTTTGTGTAGTTTCGTATCCATGAACTTAACACTTTCTTTAAGCATTTATAAATTTGTTGCCTATAAAGATGATTCCCAACACTGGTAAACTCTGCCGTAGGGAGGACACAGTGGATTATTTTGGTCCCATATTTTTTTCCCTTTGTGGATCATAGACTATTACTCCACAAACTGTAGGAAAGCTTTGGACCCTGCCATGAGAAATCGCTATCTATATAATTGTGTGACCATTTTGGATTATGTGGACTCATTTCTCTTTGAGCCCTGCCTGTTTCACTAGGCTTTTTGTTCTTTTGACTGAACATGCATTTGAAGCTATGGAGTATTTTTGCCATGTTTAGTTCTTTACTAATATGTTTGTAGATGATGGGCTAAATAGGTGTTGGAGAGCAGCTTCAGAGACAAGGGAATGTATGTTCCCAACAGAATGGGCTTTTTTTTTTTTTTTTTTTTTTTTGTTTTTCGAGACAGGGTTTCTCTGTGTAGCTTTGCGCCTTTCCTGGAGCTCACTTGGTAGCCCAGGCTGGCCTCGAACTCACAGAAATCCACCTGGCTCTGCCTCCCGAGTGCTGGGATTAAAGGCGTGCGCCACCAACGCCCGGCGCCAGAATGGGCTTTTATAACATGTTACAACTTGGGACTTTATTCTTTCTTGGCATTTTGGATTAGATCAAGCGTAAAAATGGGGAATTAGTATACATTTATTAAGGAAGTTGTTTTTTTTTTTTTAAATAACCCTTTTTAATCGTTTTAATAGTTATCAAGAGTGTAGTGTAGAAGCTACCTATTTACCTGTGGTCATGTTCTTAGTAGTAATGTGGTCTATTATAAATCCCCCCCCCCCCCGGGCTGAGGACTGAACCCAGGGCCTTGCGCTTGCCAGGCAAGCACTCTACCACTGAGCTAAATCCTCAATCCCCTGTTAATAAATCCTAATACCCTCATTAGTTTTCTTTTTGTGAAGGTGGCACCTTAGGCTTCTTGGATATGTTGTTGGATGGGAATTGAAGTTTGTGGATTATGAGACTTGAAGACATCAAGTTAATGATAAAGGTTATAGGGACAGGTAACTGTGATATAGAATGTTTTAAAACAGGCATGTAATCCCAGAATGTGGAAAGGTTAGAGGTCAGAGGTAAGGCATTGCCACATCCTGGTATAATCTCCTGTTTATTTTGGTCGTTTGTTATACTGGTGTTCATTTCCCAGTGACCTCCATGACTTCTAGCTTCTTTCTTTGTGTTTCTCCAAGTAACCTTCAAAGCCCAGGGATACTGTCCTATTAGACTGCAAATGTGTCTTGACAAGTTCAAAATGTTTGTACAGATCATTTGACATGCTTAATAATTTATTTAAGGGACTGATTCCAGTGAATTTCATAACAAAGTAAAAACTTTAAAATTCATTTGAGATTATAGTAATCTATAGATTCATCTTATATGTGGAGATAAATTGCCTTCTATGAAAATGTTCAAACACTTGCAGACCAATGCACATTTTTGGCTTAGATTATTTTTAGTTGACATTGCAATATTTACTGTTGTCTTAGTGCAATCTAAAAGCTACAGACTTCTGAGCCATTTTGCTTTCATTGAAATTTTTCTGTTCTGATTTGGCAGTAATTTTTGTTCACTGCACATCAGAAACTGCATGTGGATATGTGCATGGGTGTGAAGGCTAGAGGTTATTTGCCAGGCATCTTCCTCAATTCTCTACTTCTTAAAATTAAGATTACTTATTTTATGTTGTAGCAGTGATTTACTCACATGTATGCCTGTGTATCACATATGTGCCTGGCACCCAGAGTTCAAAAGAGGACACTGGGTCTCTGTCCTGGAATGGGAATTATGGGTGATTGTGAACTGCCATGTGGATACTAGGAATCAAACCTAAGTCCTGTTTAAGAACCACAAGTGCTATTAACCACGGAGCCGTCTCTGCAGCCCCTCTGCCTCCCTTTTGAGATAGGATCTCTTAACAAACCTGAGCTCACTGATTGTGGTAGACTGGTTGGCAGCGAGTCCTAGGGATCCTCTGGCTTTAGTTCCCTAGCACTGGATTACAGATATGCACCACCATGCTTGATGTTTTATGGGGGTACTGGGGATCTGAACAAATAGTTGTACTAGCTTAGCGACACCAACTGTACCGTCTCCCCAGCTCTAAAAGCTTCTTAACCATTGCCAAATTTCCATGGCCCGGACATTCAGTGACACGACCCGGCTTGCCACCCACAGTTAAGGAGTTGGGGAGTGTCCGTGTCTGGCTGTGCTCCTCTTTCACTTTTCTCTTTAGTGCTGAAAGTACACAGTGCTATTAAAAGCTGAACTTGGCTTTTCTTGAGATCAGAAAGGTTACTTTTAGAGCTGGAAGCCTCTTAGAAAATGCTTTTCGGCCCTTAGAGGAAAATGATTCCAAAGAACTTTTCTGCCAGAAGAATCTTGAAAACTTGCAGATTTTTTTTTCTTCATCATAATCTTCAAACTGACAGCTGTATGTCAAATTTCCCTTTCACTAGGTTTTCTTTCTTTCTTTCTTTCTTTCTTTCTTTCTTTCTTTCTTTCTTTCTTTCTTTCTTTCTTTCTTTCTTTCTTTCTTTCTTTCTCTTTCTCTCTCTTTCCCTTCCTCCCTCCCTCCCTCCCTCCCTTAACGTCATAACTATTTTCTAAACAGTCTCAAAGAACTCTTCATGTGCATATCCCTGTAAAAACAAATACCTTGTGTTCCGCTGCAAAATCACCCCTTAATGTTAAAAATATCTTTACCTAAAAAGAGTAAGTTTTTGGTCTAGGTGCATTTGGATTTAGGTATCATTTTCCGAGAGTATTGAAATACAGATGGTCTTTTAAAACCGGATTCCAGACGATAATTTCCCCTAAATGAGACACCACAGTAGAACTTGCTGGGAACAGTGGGCTTGGTTTAGTCTCTGCCTCATCCCTGCCAAACCTTGAGTTAGTGTCAGAATGTAGGGCTTAGATGGAAAGGATCAACGTAAGAGCATCTTTGAAAGGTCAATTACATTCGCTTATACGTATTCATTTTTATTTATAGTCTTAACTATATTAAGGGAGGAAGTTCCTTTATTTTGAGGTCTTAATTTTTGATTGGTAAAGAGGGGAGCAACAAGCAATAACCCTTTGAATTTCAAGCAAAAGGATCAGGACCCCCTCCCTCCACCCTCTCCATATGGAGCAGTACCTCCCTGTTCCAATGAAGTATTTCTGGTTATTTCCTGTAAAAATAAACTGATGAGCAGTTTCAAGTCAATCCTGGAATTGTGTTGCTCAGAATACTGGGATTAAGGGATTTGTGACAGTGAGAGATGATTTTCCCTTCACTTCTCTCCTTTTTAATACTGAAAAGTGATGTGGAAAAGTTTGCTGTCCTTCCGTGTAAGACACTGGGTTGAAAGGAGACCAGCCTCCCTTCTGGGTTTGCTAAGTGCAGGCGTCTGTTTGCTGTTGAGTGTCATACCACTGAACCTGCCATTCTAGCTCCTGTCTGCATTTCTGAAGAGATGGTGGTGTGGGCTTGTATTCAGACAAATTATGAATTCAGGTAAAAGTTTCATTTCTCTCATTGTCTAGACCACTTGTCCTGGAATCCCAGTTCTTCTGTTGTGGGATGGACGTGATGGTGTTTTTTTCACAGGGCATATGGAACCATGTTGGGCAGCACTGGAGACCCCAGAGTCTTGGTTCTTTTCCTTTCGGTACATTCTTGGAGGATAAGCAGCCGCATATGACTTTATACTAAACACTTAAGTGTTTAGTGGGGAAAGGTTGTTATTTTTATAAGCGCCTCAATAGGAAGATGCA